AATAATAATAATAATAATAATAATAATAATAATAAAATGTTATTCAATTTAAACCCCCACCACCCCCACCTTCTATTGTCCAATTGATTTTTATTTTTGGACAGTTGAAGTTGTAGGTATACTTGAAGGAATGTATGGCGTATACTCAGGTGGTGGATTGGGCTCTACTGTTTCCAGTAGTACATGAAGAAACACAAGAAACAATAAAATCCCAATAATAAATCGCCACATCATATCCCAATCTGTAAATTTGTCAGCTTCAACTAGTTTCTGCTCAATTTCACCCAACTCCTTTATACGTGCAAATTCGGAGCCAAGCTTCACACCTGGATGACGCCGTTTAATTTCCGCCTTCTCTAAACTCCGCCACTTCTTTGGATCTGAACTATGTTCGATAAAAGATCTACGCGCATTCCATACAGAAGCCGTAGTGTCACTAATAAGTAATTTAGTTGCGGCAGATGTATGATGTGAGAGACGCATTGCGCTCTTCAACTCTCCAGTGATGCCCACACGAAGAGTTGCACCGCCAGTTAGAAAGGATGCCATCATGCGTTGATGCAGTAGATGCACTCAAGGATTGAAACAAATAAAAATAAAAAAAAGAATAAAAGACAATTCTCAAAAAGAAGCTGAGAAGGTTCCATCATTTTATTATTATTATTATTATTATTATTTTTATATATATTTTTTTACAAAGAAGAACAATGTATCAAGAAAATAGCGTTGCATCCAAACAGAAGGATCCAAAAAGAAAAAAACAGAAAAGATAAAGGGATAAAACACATTGATTTCCTCCCTTAACCCTCATTTTATTCGAGATTAGTAATCAAGACTCCCCACCAAAATAAAAGAAGAGTCAAGATGGCGGATGCGCAACACGGGAACCAAATTGAATTGCACGCTTCTGTAAACGCACAACATCTCCCAGTCCCAACATCGCAGCACAATACCGCAGTATTTTCTTATCTCCCACACCAGGTTGTCCACCTTCTGCAGTGAAACAGCAGACAGGTTCCATCGCCTGTTGCAGTGCATGGGCATCCGCCTCATCTATTCTTGTCATCCTTGGACTCCTCGTCGTAGTATTATTAATACTATTAATAGGAGTATTAGTATTAGTAGTAGTAGTATTAGTATTAGTAGTAGTAGTATTAGTAGTAGGAGTATTATTATTCACAATAGCACGCTGGTAAGCCTCTGCGGCAATCATCTCAAGCGAGTTCAGTACGCCCTCATCAAGATATGGGTAGCGGCCCTCTCTTCCACTATCACAGACCACACGGTCATCACGGCCTAAATTACGTTTCCACAATCGCGCAAAATCACAATCAATCTCCTTTGCGAGTCCATGCGCACCGCGTCGCTCAAAGGCACGACGATGACGTGTATACCCACCGAGTGTCTCATCCGCCCCCATTCCAAGCAACAACACACGAGACTCACAGACGTAGTCATCCACACACAATCCAAACGGAGATGTTTCACCATCCACATGAAACCACTTTGTGGGTGCCGCACACCGTACCTTATCCATATCTACAGGCCGTACGAGACGCACAGCTTTCGATGGTGCCTCATCACGTCTGGCAAAAGCAATTAAACCAGCAGCAGATGCATCATTTAAATATTGCCCCAATTTTTTGTATCCATGCTGTGCTAGTACAGGTCGCAGTGCGGCTGCATGATCTTTCCCAAGTGTGGATAAGAGTATAGGTGTATTCGGTTCACTAGCAAATGCCTCTACCTCCTCAATGATAGCATCAAGTAGAGGAATAAATTTAGAAACATCTTCTGAAGTATTATCTATGGATGATAAATCCATATCCGTCTTGGATGATTCTGTTTTATCTGTAGAGATACGGTAGAGTTTGTGTCGACCTGATGAAGATGCTTTCGCACGTAGTTCACTTCTTAACTTCTGATTTGCACATATACGTTGCATACGACCATGTCCTTGAGAAGCATACCAAAGTGCAGTGCCAATACTTAAATCAATGACAGCATCTCCCGGGAATATTAGGCGTCGCACATGAGATATATCTGTGTGATGAGGTACATCTACCAATACTAAACGCCATTCCCTTTCATAATGAGATACATTTCCATTATTTTCTTTTTCATCATCTTTATCCTTCTCCTCTTTTTGTAGAGATGGGAGTTGAAGAAGCTGATTAAGAGCTCTAAAAGTAGCCATTCTGTCCGGTGTTAATTCAGGGGAATCTCCAAAAGCCACATTAATAAGTTCAATGGGTGTAGAAACAGGAAGCACATAATGTGCTATTGCGGCAAGAACAGTGCAATCAATTCCACCAGAGAATAATATACCTACTGGTTTGGTGATATCCCCACCACAATGATCTGCTTTCACACGCACGGACACAGCTTTCCAAAGTGCCTGAAGGTATTTCATTGCAGCTAACTTATCAAAACTAGAGGATTGATGTATTAATGGATGAGGAATAACATCGCTTTCATAAAGTAAACGTTTAATCATCTCAGGAGGATCTTCATTCATTACTGGAACTAATTCTCCTCGAAATTGAAATCGCAGCAATGGATGTATGTCTTGTGACATTTTCCATGGATAGTGAGAAAGAAAAGTTGTACTTGAGGAAGGCACTACGCTAAGTGCAAAAAGGCCCGTGATGGGTACTTCCTGCCAACAACCACTACTGGAGTCTACAGCAGGGGTTGTATTACATTTATTATTATCCGTATTCAGTTTATTATTATTATTATTATTATTATTATTATTATTATTATTATTATTATTATTATTAGTATTATTATTATTATTATTATTATTACTATTAGTATTATTTCCATTATCATTATCATTATCATTATCATGACGCTCACCATCAGCAAGGTCATCTGCCGTGTCAGAGGACTTATCACAACCTTGACATTCATGTCTACCACGCTTTTTACCCTTCGCAGTAGATTCATCCTTTTCAGAATCCCCAAATAAGTGATCTGCAGCAACTGAAGAGATCACAAACTCCACCATATGTTCTTCTTCTTCTTCTTCTTCAAGCCTGTCATCCACTCTTTCGGATGTTATTGCAGCCATATGTGTAAGAAGCGATCGTCGTCCTAGTGGGTCTCGTCCATATAAAAACATTTGCAGAGAGTTTGCATAATAAACAAAAGCGTAAGGACCCTCCACCATTTTCTCGAAGAAATGTACACAAGATTCAGCAAATGATGCCTGTGCCAGAGACAAATCAGTGGTATAATCTTTTTTATCAGTATTTATGATATTCTTCTCAATACCCGCTGCACATTTGAGCTCTAACTCATTAAGAGATTTAAGAATTGTGACTGTATCAGATGCATCAGGAGGTAACGGTAGTGAACCACCAAATACTTCACCATTCCACTGCAGAAACGATGATGATAAAGTACTATCACAGGAACTGACAACTTTATCATTTTTAATAGATGTAACCACTGCTGGCTGTGGAACTATCCCATTCTTTCCTTTGCCCCGCAAGCAAAGAACAGAACTCATGGCTTCCACATGTATACCATCATTATGAGTATCAAACTGTAGTGATTCACAGTAGTCTGGGCCACGCCGCCGCACAGCCGAAGAGAGCATCACACGTTCAATCACACCCTTCGCACACAACACCACATCAGACGGTATCTGCTGGGAGCGTAGTGAAAGAATACAACATATACCACACATACCAATCTTTCTTTTCTTTTCTTTTCTTTCGCTTTCTCTTTTTTTCTCAATCTTAATCTCTTTCCTTGTCTGACTATACCCTGTAAAATACTTTGGGGGCTTTCTCTTTTTTTCCCACCGTTTATCCGTTTCCTCAACAATTTTTTTTATGTACGCAAACAAAAAGAGACAATAAGAGAGAAGAAGGGAAGAAAAAAAAAAAAAAAAAAATGCAATAACAAGAGTGAAAAAAAAGAGACACCACTCACATTTTATTTGCATGTGTATTGCAAGAACACAAATGGGGGTCGACCCCAATTACACGTCGTCAAAGATAAATAGTAGTAAACTAAAAAAAATAAAGGAGAGCAACAACAACTAGTCAACCAAAACAACAACAACAAAAAAAAAAAAAAACACTAAACAAATAACTAGCAAGAGAAAACAAAGAAGAAGAAAAAAAAAAAAGACGTGTTTTTTTTTTTTTTTTTTGTTACTTCCCTCTCCTTTCTCTCATTTGTCAACGAAGAAATTATCTCTGTCAAAGCCAATTCTGATAATTAAACTTGAGACAACATCAATAGACATCATCGATAAAAATAAATAAATAACACTACGAAGGAACGACTAAAAAACAAAAACAAATAGAGCACATAATCAAAGAAAAGTACTCCAACCGGCCAAAAACCTATGCAATTTCATCATCACAATTAATATAATCATCCAACAAATGTGGGGCCTGACGAGCGGCATAACGTAAAAATCTGAAACAGACTATTACGGAGGCAACAATAGCAGAAAGGTTTAAACTTAACAAGATCAAGAAACTCGTTCGCACGCATTGACGACCCGCACAAAAAGGGTATAGACCCATTTTCCTTCCTTCACGATCAAATAATTCACCAAACATAAAGCGATTAAGAGCAATATTTGCACAGAAAGAAGCCATAAATAGAAAACTGTAATGTTTTCCAACATCTTTCGCGAATAGAGAACGTACTACAAGTGCTGTACACGCCCAGCTGTATCCAAATGCGAAGCTTATAAGTACCAGAGGTACTACTACACCTTCAACAGGTATTACAAGAAGAAGAATCAAACCCATACTCATAAGAACAGAAGGAAAAGGGTATACCATAATAACATGGAGTTTTGACCTAGCATGTGGTTGTAATAATGGAGATAAGGTCTGCGAAAACTGTTGAGAAGAAGGGTAAGCTCGCTTTTCAATTGCCATCTCAATACATCCCATCAATACCCGACCAAGGGCACTTCCCACTCCTATAAGTGTAACGTATAGAGTATTAGTGGTTTCCACAAAGTGATTTTCATTCATTGAACGATAAATTTGAGCAGTATTCGCTACAATAAGATTACCAGTACCCCAGTTACAGAACCCTGTCCAGAATAGCAACCAGGTATCAAGAAAAAGAAGATCTGTGAGAAAACTCCCCTGGTATTGTGGTTCTGGAAATCGTTCTGGAGGTGGACCAGGCAATGTAGAAGCATAACTGCGTCGTTGTGGAGATTGTTCTTGTTGTTTTTGTTGTAGGAGTTCATCTGTTATTCCACCGGATTCACACGGCATCACATTATCTTCACATCGTCCAACAGAAGGTTTAGGCATTGCATTTGGTGTATCTCTAGCAGTAGCAAGTGAGGAGATGGAGGAAGTATCTCTAATACAAACGTTTGTATTTGCTATTGGTGCATCTAAACAGCGTAAAGGTAACGCAATAAAGGTAATACAGAGAAATATTAATGTAGTGATAGAACCCAAAATAATACGTCTCTCTTTTGATACATCCACATACGCCACTACGAGAGATTGTGTTGTTAGGAATACTGTCAGTATAGTAAGAACCACATATCCCACCGCTAACCGCCGCTGTGATGGTCTCTGTGTCATGTAAATATCACGTGTAACCTCTCTACTGATTAACTCATCTTCTGTCATTTTTTTTCGTTGAAGAGCAGTTAAATGATATGGAGGAAGCCGAAGAAAGACGGCTCCTATCATACCAAAGAGAAATAATATCCCTCCAGTGAAAAAAGACCATAACTCGTAATGGCCTGAAAAAAAACTCCCAAACCATACAGTCATAATAGATGAACCAAGTCCGTTAAACGTTTTCTGTAGTACAACAACAGCACCACGATCACGAGGAAAATTGAGTATATTCGTCATTAAACTTCCTGTATCCATAGAAGAAGCACCAAAACATATAATACCGTAAAAAATAGAAAAAAGCACAACAGTACCCTCAATATAACTACTAAACGCCAATCCCATTAGTAAAAAACCAGAAGCACCAATCACGCAAGGTATCCCAACTGCCGCTGAGGGACCAAAATAATCAAATACAACACCAGATGGGAAAGTAAAGGCTCCAGAACTTGTACCAACTGTACTTATAATAGTAAGCTCCGCCTGCCCGAAATGGTACCGATTCTTCAAGTAGTCACTAATAAGACCAAAGCAGTAATGTGCTGAAATTCCAGTAGCAGTAAAAATACCGGCAACAAGCATTAAAAAACGATTTCTGTCATTTATACATGTGATGTATGGATTCACAGGAATAGGGGTAACAACAGTCACCGGATGACCCTTCGTCAGTACAGGCACCATTTCGAAATGAAAATAAAGTCACACCGTATCTTTTAAACGTTGTTGTTGTTGTTCTTCTTCTTCTTCTTCTTCGTTGTGTTTATTATTTCTGTTGCTCTAGTAAGCCTTATTTATTGTGTGTCTTTGACTTCTTCTTATACTTCGTCACGTCTTCAGTAAGCAAACCACCGGTTTAGAGCCCCTTCCCTTCCCTTCCCTTCCCTTGTTTATGCCCGGTAAAAGCTCAGGTACTATTGTTGCTGTTGCATTCAGCAGTAAAGAATGAAACCAAGAGGAAAAAAAAAGAAGAAGAAGAAGAAGAAAAAAAAAAAAAAAAAAAAACAATCCACCTCATTAAAGCCAAGAGAAACAGTCTTACATAAACACATAGAAGCATACACAATAATGTAAACAGACACCATAAGTACAACTCACACACATAAGATGGAACATCGATGTACAACATATCCATTTACATTCACATTATATCGTTCATATTCATACATTAACTGGAGTTTTCCTGTCGTTTATGGGCCTAGTTATGAAAATGCCAAGACATATGTGGTTTTACACACAATCCACATAAGCTCTTAGTCCCTTTATTTATTTATTTTTCATCTCTTCATTTTTTTCTCATAACAATTAAATTGTCTTGGCGTCGTTTTCATACTCTAAAAAACAAACCCCAATGCTCATTCTTTTTGCTATTCTCCATATCCAACATTTTCACCTTTTCTCACAGTAAACCTGGTGGTCATAACAATCCAGTAGAAATAACCCCAAGGAATCCTAGCATAATAGCAGGAAGAGAAACCAGAGAATCATGGCGTCAATATAAACAGAAGAAAAAAGCCCAAAAGAAAAAAAGATACGCGAGTGTTATTGCGTAACAACTTAAGCGATACTACAAACAACACACATTGACTCTTTCACACACACATTCCACACACACACACACACATACATACATACATACATACATATGCCACTTATTTTATCTTGTAGAGTTTCGTGTGGGGAATCCGGCTCATCTCCATTGTAAGGACACAAAAGAAAGAATCAAGTAAAAGGGGCGTGTATTAACAAAAAAAAAAAAAAAAAACTCTTCTTCTTATTCACTATGCGTGGTCGCACTTCCACATGTGTATACCGAATTAAAAAATTCATTTAGTTTTCTTCCAATTCTTCTTCTCTTCCTCTTTTTATCGTTATGCTTTACGATGGTGCAGAAAAAAGAAAAACATGTCTTCCTTCTCCTTTTTACATTTCCATATTCACTTACATGTATAATTTTTGTATACATTCTTCCCCTTCACTCATTACATATTCAAAAACTGTAAATATCATTTCTTATACCATCCATCCGAATTCCATCTAACCTGCATCTCATTATTTCTGTTATACTTTAGTTCACCTCATAACTATAACGAAGTAAACATATATATATATATATATATATATATAGGAACAAAACACAATCAAACAAAAACACACTTAAATGTTAACCAAAAAAAAAACCCAGTGCAAGAACAATCCAGCTGCTCGTTAGAAACACTTACACTTCTCACAAAGATTCCTTTACAAACCTACACAAACATCACTGAACCTCACCATCTCCCGTCTCTGACGATTGGACGTTCATCTGCTCCTTCTCCCTCTCCGCCTTAGTGAAGCGCGCAAAGCGCCAGTGCACGAGTGC